TGTTTGGAGACACGCGAGTCTCCGCTCTGCTGCCAGGCTTGAGTGCAGTGGCCGGATCTCAGCTGCACTGGCCCAGCTCCCTCCCTGGGTTCACGGCCATTGCTCCTCGGTTCAGCCTGGGCCGAGTAGCTGGACCTACCAGGCCACGGGCCGCCACCGCCGGGGCGGGTCGCCCGGACTAGTTTTTTTTTTGTATTTTTATTTTAGCAGAGACGGGGGGTTGTCACTGTGTTACCAGGATGATCCTCGATCTCCTGACCGTCGTGAATCCCCCGTCTCGCCCCAAAGTGTGGCTGGGATTACAGGCTTGAGCACCGGCGCCAGCCGGCCGTTTGTCGATTTTGCAACCTCCAGGATTTGAATTCGCACAGTAGTGGCGCTGCCTTTTCCTTTATTCGCCATTTTTAGATTAATACAAGGAATTCCGAGCAAATGCCTATGTTTTCAATGTCAACTCCCAGGAATGAGTTAGTATCTTCTTCCTGGTTTCTTTATTGTTTTGTTCTTGTTCTGTTTTTTTTTGAGATGACGGTCTTGCTCACTGTGTTGGCCCCAACCAGCGACTGGGAGTGCATGGTGCGACATCCTTCCGCTCCTGCACACCGTCTGCCCTGCCCGGGGTTCCCGAAGCCCGACTTGCCTTCCGTGCACTGCAGTTCCGAAGTAGCCTGGGAATTACCAGGCACCTTGCCACCATAATCCGGGCTAATTTTTATTTTTACGTAAAGATGGGTTTCACCATGTTGGCCGAGCGGCTGGTCTTCCAAACTCCTGCCTCGCAAGCGTGATCAGTGCCCCCTTCGGGCGCTCCCTCAACGTGCTGGGATTACGAGGCAATCAGCCACCAGTGGACCCCTCTCTTCTAAGCGTTGTTTGTAATGTGTATCATCTGTATTAATGCCTCCATGGACAACCTTATCACGACGGGGTAGGGCACGATACTATTATTATTCCCATTTAGACACGCGATGGGGCGAAAATTGAGGCAAGGGAGAAGCGTAAGCTAGATTATCAAGATCACAGCGCGAACTCTAAGTGGTAGAACAAGAAGGCAACAACACAGGCAGGCAGCCCTGGACTCAGGTGGTCTGCCAACATCTAACTACACCTGGGCCGCTCCTCTGAGGAAAAACAACAAACCCAGTACCCGTGTTGGGGCCATTAGGACCCTTAAGGCTGCTGGGCCAAGGAATCCTAACAGCGCTGATTGGGGCAGTCACCTGGTTTGAGCCGTTTGTTACCGTCACCTGGGGGCTTGTGCTTACTCTCTGAACTGACCCGAGGAAAAAACGAGAGCAAGATGTTGCAGCGAGTAATCGATGCCTGTTCCAAAACAGCAATTCAGGGGAGTTGCTCGTGTGGGTCGGATACAGCGCCGACCCCAGGTAGAGCCTCAGAAAAGCTTCTGCTCCCTGTCGTTAGAAGGCCACATCTTAGAGGGGACACCTTATGTATGTCGTTATATAAAAGTATTTAGTTTAAGTAATATATTTAAAAAAAAAAAAAGAAGAGAGGCTGGCACATAGTAAAGGCACTATAAATATAAATGTTAGCTATTGTTATTTACTTATTTATTTTTTTGAGACGTGTTGCCCAAGCTGGAGTTCAATGGCATGATCTCGGCCCACTGTAACCTCCACCTCCTGTGTTCAAGGGATTCTCCTGCCTCAGCCTCCTGAGTAGCTGGGTTACAGGAGCACACCACCACCATGCCCGGCTAATTTTTTGTCGTTTTAGTAGAAACAGGGTTTCACCATGTTAGCCAGGCTGGTCTCGAACTCCTGACCACAGGTGATCCACCTGCCTCCTCGGCCTCCCAAAGTGCTAGAATTACAGGCGTGAGCCACTGCACCCAGCCAGCTATTGTTTGTTTTTTTGAGACGGAGTCTCGCTCTTGTTGCCCAGGCTGGAGTGCAGTAGCCCAATCTCGACTCACTGCAACCTCCGCCTCCCGGGTTCAAGTGATTCTCCTGCCTCAGCCTCCCGAGTAGCTGGGACTACAGGCACACGCCACTGCACCCAGCTAATTTTTGTATTTTTAGTAGAGACGAGGTTTCACCATGGTGGCCAGACTGTCTTGATCTCTTGACATCATGATCCACCCACCTTGGCCTCCCAAAATGCTGGCACTATAGGCATGAGCTACTGCGCCTGGCCAGCTGTTGTTATTTTTAAGTGCTCTCTTATTCATACTTGGGTAGACCTGCTGTAATCTGTAGTGATAAGATGGGAAGGCCCCAGGAGCCAGGTTTTCCCAGTGCCTGACTCTGGCTAATAATCCTCTGCCCTGCTAATGTCACTGCTTCTCTTGTTCTCTTTGTGGGTAGGGTGATGGCAGGTAAGGGATGCTAGAAGAGTAAGAAGGGACCCTGAAACTGCCTCCTTCCAACCTGACACCTGTCCTTCTCTTTGTTCAGGCCGCAGGCATGGTTTTGGTCAACTGATGTTTGCAGATGGTGGCACCTACCTGGGTCATTTTGAGAATGGGCTCTTTAATGGCTTTGGGGTATTGACCTTCTCAGATGGTTCAAGGTGGGTATGAGGTAATTCCTTTCTTAGCCTTAAATAAGGGAGGGTCTGACATAAAAATGGGACACTGGTAAATATTTGGTCAATCCTGAGCTTGTCTCACTCCCTGCAGAACACAGATGAGGACTAAGTAGTCCTTTTATTGGTTATTTTTTAAGTGGACCTAAAATTTGAAATGTCAACCAAGTGAGTGACTTTCCACCCCACTCCCATTCCCGTCCTATCTTCTTTCGTTGAGATCAGGGCTTCATGGCATATATACTCTGATCCTTCTCTGCTGGCTGGGAATAGGTGGGGTAGATGGAGCTATGTGACAGGTGGAATCGGCTTGCTCCTTGGCATTATTAAATAACAGAGATCCGCAGCTACTCAACTCCATTAATCTGGACAGCTAACTTCCCACTGAAGGCTAACTTCTGGTGTTTCTGCAGGTATGAGGGGGAGTTTGCCCAGGGCAAGTTTAATGGCGTCGGAGTCTTCATTCGATACGACAACATGACGTTTGAGGGGGAATTTAAAAATGGCAGAGTAGATGGTTTTGGTAAGTTGCAGCCCAGCAGGATGGGTGACTTAGGTGGGCATAATATGGGTGGAAATATATCTGTTTCGTTTTAATCCTGCGGGGGTCCAGCAATCCATAGCGGCCATCCCTGACGCCTATCCATTGAACTCACCAATAGAGTGCTCCTGAGTAGAGCTGCGAGTTTTTCTCTTCTTCAGCCTCAACATATCAAGCTCACCTTTGAGACATTAACGCCATTGTTACTCCCATGTTTTCTCTGCCCTCCTCAAAGGCCTGCTGACTTTCCCCGATGGTTCTCATGGAATCCCCCGCAATGAAGGTCTCTTTGAGAACAACAAGCTGCTGCGGCGTGAGAAGTGTTCTGCCGTCGTTCAGCGGGCCCAGAGCGCCTCCAAGTCAGCCAGAAATCTCACTGCCTGACAGCGCGGTGGGCACCAGCTGACAAGTATTGGGTAAAGCCAGTGCGCCCCTTGTTGACTCGAGGTGAACAAATGAACCAGAGCTGAGATGAATTGACAATGACAGTGGAGCAGAGAGGTCTTGTATGTGCCCTGTCACCTGCCATTCCAGAACTGGACCGCAGAAAAGTGCTGAGGATGCTGGCCAGCGGACGCTGCTCAGTCATTGGTGGTTCTGTCTTTCCCTGACCCTTGTGTGCTGGAGGACAGAGGAACCGCCTCTTCTCACTGTTGATACTCTGTTCCTAAGACCTCGGGTTACCCAGTGCAGCCTGCTGTGACCCTTCTGCTTCATTTTCTGCCAAGTGATAACAGAACCTTCATTCTGCTGCTTTTGGGGCAGGTGATTCTACCCCACCTTAGGGCCAGTGCTCTGTGCCACCCCAGAGAAACAGGAAAAAGATAGGGGTGGCTCAGTGGAGCAGCCCTGTGAAAGTCAAGGCCAGAGCTTTTCTTTTTAAATTTTATTATTATTATTATTATTTTGAGATGGAGTCTCACTCTGTCGTCCAGGCTAGAGTGCAGTGGCGCAATCTCGTCTCACTGCAACCTCCACCTCCCAGGTTCAAGCGATTCCCCTGCCTCAGCCTCCTGAGTAGCTGGGACTACAGGAGTGCGCTACCACACCCGGCTAATTTTTGTATTTTCTTAAGTAGAGATGGGGTTTCACCATGTTGGCCAGGCTGGTCTCGAACTCCTGACCTCGTGATCCACCCACCTCGGTCTCCCAAAGTGCTGGGATTACAGGCGTGAGCCACCACGCCCAGCCTTTTATTTTATTATTATAAAAAAATGAGCCAGGTCTTGCTATGTTGCTCAGGCTCGTCTCAAACTCCTGGGCTCAAGCGATGCTCCTGCCTGGGCCTGCCAGAGTGCTAGGATTGCAGGTGTGAGCCACTGTGCCTGGCTGGCAGAGCTTTTCCGTATGTTACTCCTCATGCTAGTTAGAATCATAGCTCCAGGCTTTCACTTGGTCTGATCAGACTGGTATTCATTCCTGCCTATGCCCCTGAGAAGGATTCGGTAAGAGTGCTATTTCCTCCTCCCTTTAGAAGACAGACTGTCTTCTTTCACCAAGTTACAGCAGATAATCCCCATGTGTGTGCCTCTCTCCTTCCTTAGATGGGGAACAGGATCCCTTTTTGGGACAGTCAAGAAAAAAACTCACGTAAACAGTAATCTTATTGTATATGTGACTAACTCCAGGGAAAAGGGTAGAATATTTAGGCCATTTCAGGCCCTACCATGGAGTGAACTGAATTCGTAGGGATGGCTTGGGCTGACACAGTTTCTTCCCAGTGGACCGATAAATCAGACTCACCCAAACCCCTGGGGTTTTGGTAGAACTGGACCTACTCTAGGACTGTAGGGAACTAAAGGAGCATTTGGCTCACTGTAGCTCTTCTATCATGAGCCTTGACCGTCAGGCCGCAGTCAGACCTTACTGATGGGATCTCTGCAGTTTATCACGGAGGCCTCCCGTTACCCTGGTACCCAAATACGTCCCCCACCTCTAGCCCCCTAGCCTCACACTAAATGTCTCCTCAACAGCAGATGGTGGTGGAAGTTATAGCCGTGTGCCTCTATTTATTCTCTGAATTGTACTGTAGAAAAAGGTGTTTATAAAGAATAAAGAAATCACCAGAACTGCCTATACCTAGTTTTCTTGACTTTCTGGCCCTGCGTCTTCATGAATATCAACCCATTTGCTGTTTGTAAAAGTTAATCAGATTAGCCCTTGGAACTGACCCTGCACACTTTACTATATCAAGTCATTTAATTTTCTCAGCCTCTACAGAGGAGGACATAGGAATTTTTTTTCTTACTTGAATCAGACAATCTCAGGCTGCCACAACTAGTAGGTGGCACAGCTGGGTGGGATTTGTAACCAAGTCTTTCTGACTCCGTCTCCCTTTACTGGACCCCTCTCACCCTGAGCATCAGAGTGTGTAAGTCCTGAGACTAGTTATGGCCACACCTGCTGGGTTACCTCTGGCAGGTCCACTGCTGCCGGAGTTTCCCTTTCTCTGCAATGGGAGAGTGGTGGAACAATGACCCCCATACTGACGCTTTTACATGCATCCTTGTTGGAGGAAGGTACTATTATTATCCCTGTATTACAGATGAGGCTTAGGGAAGTTAAGCAGTTTCTCCAAGGTCCCATAGACACTAAGGGGCAGATCCCAGAACTTAAACCCAGACCTGTTTAAGCCCAGAGGCTGAGCTCTTACTCAGTACACTACCCTGCCTGCCTAGCCTTAACTATTCCCCCAAGTCCTAAACTTGATTCTCTTCTGAGCCCAGTTCCTCTGGAATTTGCCTGTGAGAGGACCCCAGGCACTAAGCCCCAAGCTTTAGTGCCATTCAGAGCCTGGTTTTGGGTTGAAGTTTGAGATCTTTTATTTTCTCTCCTTTAGCCTCTGCCCTAAACAAGTGTCTATTTACCTCTTTTTTTAACCTTACACTTTCTTTTTAATGAGTAATTTTTTTTTAATGTATCTCCATTTTTCTGCCACTAGTCAAATATTACCACCGAAAAAGGTTAACTCTTTTGGAGAAAGCATCTTTTTTTTTTTCTTTTGGAGATGGAGTTTCACTCTTGTGGCCCAGGCTGGAGTGCTGTGGCATGATCTCAGCTCACTGCATCCTCCACCTCCCGGGTTCAAGCAATTCTTGTGCCTCAGCCTCCCGAGTAGCTGGGATTACAGGAGTGTGCCATCACGCCCGGCTAATGTTTGTATTTTTAGTAGAGACAGGGTTTTGCCATGTTGGTCAGGCTGGTCTCAAACTCTTCACCTCCCAAATTGCTGCCCGGCCTCTCAAAGTGCTGCCTGGCCCTAAACACTTAGCACTTTAATCAAAAAGGATGCTGGCTGGGTACGGTGGCTCACGCCTGTAATCCCAGCACTTTGGGAGGCTGAGGCAGGAGGATCACCTGAGGTCAGGAGTTCGAGACCAGCCTGATCAACATGGCGAAACCCCGTCTCTACTAAAAATACAAAAATTAGCCGGGCGTGGTGGTGCACGCCTGTAATCCCAGCGACTTGGGAGGGTGAGGCAGAAGAGTTGCTTGAACCTGGGAGGCGGAGGTTGTAGTGAGCCGAGATTGTGCCACTGCACACAGCCTGAATGACAGAGCAAGACTCCGTCTCAAAAAAAAAATAAAATAAAAGTGCTAAGTGTTTCTAAGTAGCTCAGTTGCTCTCTTTTGCCTCTTACCCCTTCCCTAGGCCTCCAGTAAGTGAATGCCTGCTGGCTCAGTATTGTTGGGGCCGCTCTTAGAGCTGGGAGAAGTCAGACCATCAGAGTTCACTTGCCTTTAGGAAGGTTCTTGACATCTGGCCAGGAAACCTAAGATCTGCATAGCAATAGAATGTCCATCTGTACATAGCCACACAAATTTTACCTGTTAAATTTTATTATAGTAACAAAGTGATTATTTTTAATAATAAAAGCAGACTGCCTGTAGGCAAGAGGATGGCCCTATCTCAGGCGAAGTCCCCTTAGTCTTTCAGACCTAGGCTGGCCAGAATAGTCTTCTAGAATGTAACATTTGTCCACCAGGTGTCACTATTTACCAATCTGACAAGCCACTGAGCTGTCTCCGTGCTTTCAGTGGTTGGAATCCAGGCTAGAGACCAGAATAGGAGATGAATGAAAATAGATTTAGAAAAGGGCATGTGGCTGGAATGCAGCTTGCAGTGTGGAGGGCAGGGGTGGGAGGGTAAAGAGGGCTCTTTGAAAGACCAGTGACACTTTCCTGATCAAGTTTCCTAAGCTGATACTTCCCTGGAAGGAGTCAGAACTTGGGTTTGTAGGAGTAGCCCTGGCTTCCAGCTGCATTGTGCTAGACTCAGGTTTCAAGCCCCAAGTCTAAGTAGTCCCCACTTCAATAAAACAAATTCCCAGCTGGGTGCAGTGGCTCTTGGCTGTAATCCCAGCACTTTGGGAGGCCGAGGCAGTTGAATCACCTAGGTCAGGAGTTCGAGACCAGCCTGGCCAACATGGTGAAACCCCGTCTCTACTAAAAATACAGAAATTAGCTGGACGTGGTGGCGGGCGCCTGTAATCCCAACTACTCGGGAGGCTGAGGCAGGAGAATTGCTTGAACCCAGGAGGCAGAGGTTGCAGTGAGCCGAGATGGTACCATTGCACTCCAGCCTGGGCAACAGAGCGAAACTCTGTCTCAAAAAAAAAAAAGAAAAGAAAAGAAAAGAAAGAAAGAAAGAAAAACTTCCTGACTGTGCCTACTTGCACCTCTGCCCTTTCCTTCCGATTTCATGTGCCTCGGGGCATAGGAAAGCATCCACAGTAGAGAGATGAATTGAGAAATTGCTCCTTACCAATCTTCAGGCCAGAGAGACAGTTTAGGATACAAAAGGGAGAGGTCAGGGGCCATGAGAATAGGAGATGCGCGTGGGCATGCCTGTGAAAGGCTGCCTGGAGGACTAAAGAAGGCAAAGGAGCCTCTACGGGCTCCCCGCGTCCGCCGCCCTCATCCCCCTGCGCTCTCTGCTTCAGGCTGCAAGTGCAAGGCAGGAGGCTGAGATGGGCTCAGGCCAGCCATGGACGCTGCCGGCCCTCAGAGCCAGCCGTTGCTGGTGAAATCCATGCGCAGTGCCTCCTCCTCAGCGGGGCTCAGCTCCTGCAAGGGGGCGCGGCAGGGGCCTCCGTAGTAGCCAAACCAGTCCATCATTTTCTTCAGCCCTGGGATCCCGAAGCGCCGCGTTACCTGCAAAGCAGAGCCTGTTAAAAGAGACTGAGAAATTTGCTGATCGCCCATATCTGGAACTCGGAAATCTGTCACTTTCAGAACGTTGAAGTCCTACCCTCTTCCCCCAGGAAAGTAACTGCCAACTCTATGGCACCCAGGGTAGACTGGGAATCCAGATTCAGAGACCAGAGAGCAGGTCTGTAAGAGAAAAATACTAAAACTTCAGACTGGGGAAGAAGAGTGCCTCCTTTGGTTTTAGGAGAAAAATCCACTCCAACAGCGGAGAGGGTGTCATTGGGTCCTTGAGCTGGGGTGGGAGAAGACAGCAAGGCTGCGGGTCTAGGTACTAGAGCATCAGCCGTCTGCAACCCAGTTCCCCAAAAGCTGACGCAGGGCACACCAGGCCTGGAAAGTCAGGAGGGGGGAGGATCTGTGAGAGCCTCAGCCACAGCCCAGACCTCTACTCCCCTTGCATCTGGCTGCCCTCACCTCCCCATAGCTCTTCCTGACCCTAACACTAACTGTTCTCCCAGGAAAAGCAAAGCATGGTTGCCCAAGGAAGTTTTGTTGTATAAACCTTATGTCATCTACTTATTATCTCTGAGTAAGTTCTCCTGTCTGAAAAATGAAGGAGCTGGACAGCATGATCTCTAAAGGCTTTTCCATGATAATGGGGAACCTAAAGCTATTGTTATAATTTATTTATTTATTTATTTTTGTTTATTTATTTTTTTGAGACAGAGTCTTGCTCTGTCACCCAGGCTGAAGTGCAATGGCGTGATCTCGGCTCATTGCAACCTCTGCCCCCTGAGTTCAAGTAATTCTCCTGCCTCAGCCTCCTGAGTAGCTGAGATTACAGGCACCTGCCACCACACCAGGCTTATTTTATTTTATTTTCTTTCATTTCATTTTATTTTTGTATTTTTAGTAGAGACAGGGCTTCGCCATGTTGGCCAGGCTGGTCTCAAACTCCTGACCTCAAGTGATCTGCCCGCCTCAGTCTCCCAAAGTGCTAGGATTACAGGTACGAGCCACTGCACCCCGAATAATTTATTTATTTTTATTTTATTTTTATTTTTTTGAGACAGGGTCTCACTCTGCCACTCAGACCAGAGTGCAGTGGTATGATCATGGCTAACTGTAGCCCAGACCTCCTGGGCTCGATCTATTTTCCCGCCTCAGTCTGCAGATCACCTTGGACTACAGGTGCATGCCACCATGCCTGGCTAATTTTTGCATTTTTTGTAGAGATGAGGTCTTGCTGTGTTGCTCAGGCTAGTCACAAACTCCTGAGCTCAAGTGATCCACCCACCTCGGCCTCCCAAAGTCCTGGGATTACAGGCATGAGCCATGGCGTTTGGCCTATTATAATTTAAAATCATGTGTGGAATTTTACAGAGTAAATGAAGCATCAAATTTCCTTGCTTTTGGTATAGCAACTGGTTATTTCATGCTGATCAGAAATATTAGATGAATCTTTCACTACCTAAAAACTACGAAAGTAGTCCTTAAGGAAGTTTTATCTGGAGGGAAGCTAAAACCTTAGGAGGATAAAAATAAGAGGTTGTTTGGGATAAAGAGGCCAGGAACCACTGATGAAAGATTGACTAATAACTGTTTATCACTAGAGTCCCGGAGGCTTCATCAAGCATGGATTTTTTTTTCTTGGAATGGGTGGTAAGCCACCCTCCTCCAGGCCTCACCACCCCCATGATGTTCTAATAGTCTGGCCTTTTTACCCAAAGCCTGAGGAGGTGGGAGAGACCCAGGATAGAGGATGGAAATAAGAGGTGGCTAGAGAAAAGCTCGCTCCTGCCATGGGTTTCCAAAGATATCTGATGTGGCCTCTCTTCAAACCCTAAGAAAGGGTTGGTGGCAAAGACTGTAGAAAGTCCTAAATATAGCCAGGGGCAAGAGGCAGGCTGGTGGGAAGGTGGGGGAA